AGAGCTGTATGAGGTACTTATTCATAGTCAGTGTATAACATACTGTAATGTTAGTTGGCAGTTCTGAGAAGCAGACTGGAATACCTCCATGAAAGCTACGTAATAGAAGCTGTGGAGGGGTCAGCAACACAACATATTTACATTACCTAAATAAAGAACCACCACGAAAATCAACAACAGTTTAAGTGTTTTATTGAGAATATTTTCACTGCTTTATCTTACTGTCAGACAGCAGTTACTGACAGGGAGCTAAAGCCGTTCTATCACTGTCTTCACAGCCAGTCGCCATTGAGACAGTAATTTAACATCGCTGAACAGAGGTGCTGCTGGCCTACCGTTGCCTTCTTCACTTAGTTTGTGTTATTGTGTGACTTTGGCGTTTACACGGGTTAGTTGGGATTCAAAGCACAGTCACACAGTAACACAAACTAACTGACTGTGGGAACCTTACATCAGCAGCTGCCGTGTCCAGCAAGCTATAATTACTGTTTCTGTCAATGGAGACTGGTGGCTTTGATGAGGGCATAGATGGAGAACTGAAGCTGTTAATGGCTTTCCTGTCGAAACAGGCTGTCTGATGGAAAGGTTAAATGATGAAAATACTCTCAGTACAGCAGAAACCTGCTCCATTATTGATTATTTTCAGTGGCTAAAATATGTTTTGTTGCTGCCCCCCCTAGCTGAACCTGCTTATCCAGACTGGGGTCGTGCTGACTGACATCTACTGTAGGTAATACACCGACTATGGCTAAGTAGGCCTACCCCATACAGCCTCACTTCAAAAAATCTGAACTACCCCTTTAAGATTCAGAGAGGATGCTGTCACACTTAATCAAAGCAGATTTAATATATTCTATGTTCATGACTTTATCACTCAAGCACACATATTCCAGTACCCGTGGTTCCCAACATATTTTCATGGATGGCATTTTAAAAGAATCTTTTCCATGACTTTTCAAGGACCTGTGATAAAATTTCGATGATAATTTACAATGTATAACAGAAACACTGCTTCATCTCAGAAACACACGGTATAATTTAAAAGTTAAAAAATGTGGCAAAGCATGGGTATTAAAAAAAAAAGATTTTACACATTAAATCACACTGTTACATTATTTTCCTCTCTTTCAAACTCTATTCCAACATATTTCCAGCTAGCAGGCATCTGTCTCGAGGGAGAGACAGAATGTTGGGACAAATATAAAGAAACGTACAAAATGGTCTCAAAAACTTTGTCACACATTGGCCCAGACCTATATTATGTCAACAAGCTATCCCCAGAAGATTACATTAACAGTTAAATTCATTAAACACGACAAAATTCCATGACTTTTCTAAAACTTTCAAGGATTTTACTAACTCCATGACTTTCCAAGGTTTACCATAACCATGGGAACCCTGAATACAGCAACTCAAAGTGTTTGCCGACACAGAGCACCGATCCCACATCAGCGCTCTTCTCCCCAAACTAAAAATCAGTGTACCTCACAGCATGAACTCATTGGTTTCATCTTTATAAAAAGCTACACAAGGAAGGGAACTGCTGTGGAATCTACCTGAGAGAAATTGAGAAACCACAAATTAAGAAAATACATGTTTATTGAAAGCAGTTCTGTTCATCGGTATCCTACAGTGATGTTGCAATACAGAAAAATAAAGCTGCATTACAAACTGATTTTCTCTGGAAATTCTGACTCACTGGTTGCGACGATACTGTACTGTTTAATTCATATAATTCTCATATCAAAGCATGTAGAGATGTAGCTGCAAAATTATCCAAACACAAAACAATTCCCTCTTATAATGTCATAATGAGATAATCATAAAAATTCCACGTCTGAAATATTAAAACAGAAATATAAGAGAAAAGGTATTATGTTTACAGGGCTGAGCAATATGAAGCAATATGGGAAGAAATTACAGTGTTCAGGTAGAGTAAAATGTACATGGAAGTCGAACAGGAACAGTCATCGTCTGCTGTCACATTTCAGAAATAATTCTGGAAAATCTGTGTATTTGCTTTGTATTTTTAATTCAGACAAAACTGTGTGACAATATAAAAAAGTTCCACACAATTACCATGATGGACATTATGTTATTAATATTGATATATTGCTCAGCCCTTGCTTATGAGACTGTCAACAGTTGCACACTGCCACATATGATACTGTGAAGTTAAAGACTGTGAATACTATAAATACTAACAACACCTGAGAAATGACATTAGAGATCAGTAGCGGTCATATTGAGGTCTCTGATGATGAGAGTTGTATCCCTGGTTGGAGCTTGGTGAGCCTGATTGATACCCACTTCCATGGCCCCATTGCCCTTGCCGGTCCCTGTCCCAGTCTCTGTCTCTGCTCCTGTCTCTTTCTCTGTCCCTGTACCTATCTCTGTCATGCCAGTGCTGCTGCCCACGATGTTCTCCTCTCCAACCTCGGTCTCCTCCCCAACCCCGATCTCCTCCCCAGCCTCGCCCTCCTCCCCAGCCACGACCTCGACGATCTTGGTACCTAAATGGAGACACAGGGGAATTAACAGTCAATCTTTAACAACAGGTACACACATAAAAACACAGTTATGCCATAACCATGAAAGAGTAAATCTAGTTGTTCACTTGTGTATCCAGATTAAACAAACCAGATTTTTCCTTTACATGAAAGTTAAGAAATCAGATTTGTGGATAATAACCTGGTTATTACTTTGTTACATATTTGAGCAGTTAGGTAATTTAAGAATAAGCGTCAAAGTAGTTTTTTACTGTTCAGGCTTGCCTGTCAATCCTACTGTTTATATGTTTTTACTTCTGGCTAATATTCGTGTCTATGAGTGTTGCTGTTGTGTTTTATCATAAAGCACTTGATAATGTCTGCAATAGAAAGGTGCAACAGTAATGCAACTTTACTTTGTAACCTAAACAAGTTGAAGTACGTAAGCCTCACCTAAAATGGAAAGAGAGACTATTAAGATGATTTTAGCCCCACAATATACCATAATTGCATTTCCAAGATTTTAACTGAGATGATTTCTAATCACATTTTCAAAACTGTACAGCCAGTTGCTGGAGTATTTTTTGAAAAGGAAAGAGCTATGTCTAAAAACTGACTGTGACCTTGAATGTATAAAGAGAGAAACTGTTCTTGTGGTTACATTTAAAATACTGGGGGAGTACTACTCAGCCTGTGAAAACTGGTTCTGTTGGAACTTTTGTAAAATTTACTTGGAATAGAAAAAAAATACAAATTGTGAAATTGCAATCTTAACTGGCCGATGTAAAAACACCCTTTTCAACCAAAAAGTCTCAAAAAGTGTGAAACCAGAGGCAGCGTGTCTCCACTCTCACAGGTCCACAAACTCCATGATGCAATACTAAATCACTGGAGTACCACTTTAACTTAAAACAAGTCGCCTCACAGCAAGAGGGTTCCTGTTTTGAACCCTTGGGTGGGGGTAGCCCCTCTGTGTGGAGTTTGCATGTTCTCCCTGTGTCAGTGTGGGTATTCTGCATGCACACCGGCTTCATCCCACAGTCCAAAGACATGCAGGTTAATTGGTGACTCTAAATGGTCGGTAGTTGGAATGTGTGCGTGAATGGTTGTGCGTCTCCATATGTGTCAGCCCTGTGGTAGTCTGGTGACCTGTCCAGGGTGTATCCCACCTCTCTCCCAATGTCAGCTGGGATAGGCTCCAGCCCCTTGAGACCCCCAACAGCATAAGCGGTCACAGAAAATGAATGGAATTGATTAATAACATGATTTTTGTCTACTTATTGTATTAATTTATTATTGTATATTACTGAATTGTTTGACTTTATGATCTATGAATACATTGCTGCTTGTTTTTTTAAACTGTGTCTTGTAAGGTGTCCTTGAGTGCTCTAAAATACGCCCATGAGTAAAATGCACTATTATTATTTATCATCAAATCATATCACTATATTGCCAAGTTCTTGCACACATTTAGATCGCATTTAAATGTACTATATAAATAAAGCTTTACCTGCCTACTTTGTTATCAGACAGTCAGTCCTTTTCACCATTGCCATAACAGAAGCATGTAAATTACAGATTATGAATGCCCACTTTGAGAGCTGTGGTTACATTACCTGTCCCTGCCTCTGTGGTGTCCACCTCCACGACTCCTCCAGTCCTCGACGATGGGTGGGGGGTCAGTCGGCCGTTTCAGATACTCCTGGTAGTCTTTGTCCTCAGATGTAAATCTGTGGGCAAACATCTCCTCGTAGGTCTGCGGTTTTTCTGTGGTCTCTGCCATGCTGCAATGACAGAGGATGAGAAGCTGTAGAAACACTAATATATCACAACAAAGCTAATAATATGTTTAGCATAAAGACTAGTGTTTATTCTGTTTACTGGCGAATACATCTGTTTAAATGTGCCTTGCTTTTGCTGTGCTGTCAAATCCTCCATGTGGAACAATAAAAACTTGACTTATCTTAGCTAACTAAGATTAGCTAACGTTAGCTAAATATACAGACGGCACAACAATCATAATGATAGCATGTTTAACGCTAGCTTCGAAAACATACCTTTATTATTGTTAGCTGTCGAAATACACTAACATGCCTTGAAACGACTTCTTTTAAAGCAATGGAAAGAAATCCCAGGACCGGTACGTCGCTGAAACGCGTCCCCCCCGGAACAAAGGAACATATTTTAATGGTTCCGGGAGCGCGCGCACCTGCCACTGATTGATGGCTGTTACCTGCCAGTTAGAAACAACAGGCTCAACGGTTGATAGCAAAACCGCTTAAAGTCTGTTATTTGACACCAACAGTCGACTTTAAACCCATGTTATTAAGAAGTGTGTTAGCTAAAGATGCTAATAAGGGGGGCCGCTAATTTTAATTGGTGTAAATTAGCTTAATTTGGGAGAAATTGCTGGAAACCGTCGAAGTCACAAAAAACATGTAAGTGCACCTGGATTTTGAAACCCAATCATCGTTGTTGGTCGGTTTTCAACAGCATGTTTTATCAGTGTTCCGGGTGTAATAATGTCGTGGTTTAGGACTACAATTTGGGTTAAAACCGCAGACACACACAAACCGCAGATACCACAGGTTTAAGAAGTGTGGGTGGCTCTGACAGCAGCGCGAGCAGGTGGAAGCCGCTCCGTGTCGCTGCTGCTGCCCCTTCATATGAAACACAATCCAGTTGGGGAGGACGAAACTCTGCGCAGCCAGCAAGCAGGGGAAACGCAAACATTAACTTAATTCATCAGCGCCGATTGTTTGAGGACAGCGAGGAAGAAGCCGCGCCGAAGTGGGATTAATTGTGTCGCGTATCCTGAGGGGAGAAACAAACAGGCAAAGAGAGAAAACTTCCTGAAATGACCGGGCTTCTGTGAGACACAGAGCTTGACAACCCGGTGAATCGAGTTTCCGAAGAAGTGCTCTCATATTTCAGTTGTCTCTCAGCGGCAAGAGGACTTGCTCGAGGCTGGCGGACTCTTTGGACCGCTAATCATCTGTGTACTTTGCCTGCGCTTTAAAACATAATTTTCCTCTGTCAACCCGCAGCCAATAGAGCCAGTATCTAAAAAGGAGTTGTTCCTCAAGTCCGCGGCAATGGGGTGAGTAATCCAGAAAGCCCTGCTGCCCTTCAGAGCGCCTCTCATGACACCTGCACTGGCTGTAATGTTATGTTATGTGTGTGTGTGTGTGTGCGGCGAATATACGACAAAATAACTCCACAACTGTCCACTTCACCTCTCAAGCCTCTGAGTAAATGTGATTATCATTGCCTTAATGCTTGTCTGTGGGTATGGAAGCAGAGGAAGACCCCAGTTTACTCTTTTATAGCCTGGATTATGTGGCAATGTGGGTAATTTAAGAGGTGACTTCAGCTTGTCTTCACTGTCTGTGAGATAATTATGTGTGAAAAAGCTTCATACCATATTTCTAATATGGATTTATATGTGATTTCATAGCAGAATATCATGTGGATCAGATTCCCCCACCTCCTGCTTATCTGTCTGTGGGAATATGGCTTTGAGAGGGTTACGATATGGAGGTGGCAAAGTCAACACTGCCCACTAATAAGGAGAGATGGTACTTCTTGAAGTGTGTGTGTGTGTGTGTGTGTGTTGTCCACAGGGCTGGAGGCACTTGTGCACTCTCATAGGTGTTTACAGGGTACAGTACATTATTTTGCCTTCACAGTCTACTGTGGAGTGAGTGTTGGCTCTGTGGCTCAGTTCCATAGTTATGCAATCATCAGCTTGTCTCACATCTACATATATTACTGAGTTTTCTCTCTGGAGCACCTACTCCTCTTTGTGTGGCTTTTATTTGACTTAGAAATTGCAATAATAACAGCTCAGTGTAATTTATTTCACAATCTGGCCCTGAAAAAAATGATGTAAACTTTATAAAAAAGGTCCATTTGTGACATCAAGGAAACTCAGTTTATGTAGAAAGTATTAGGCAAGGTGTGAATCAGAGGCAGCGTTAGTTTTTAGTCATTATGTAAAGTGCCACCCAATGCCACAGTGATTGTGTCTCCTGAGCAGACATGTTTGTGTGTGTGTGTGTGTGTAAGAAACCAGTTCATCAGTCTCGACTCCTTCTTAAGAGTTTGGCATACTCACCCAGCAGGTTTGAAACTGGCAGGACTCAGTAGTGTTGTGTCATGAAACTGGCCCAGTGGACCAGCAGCAGCAAGGAAGCCAGTCCAAGACAGGAGGTCACACCTACTGACAGAGACATGGAAACAAGTTTCCTTTGTCCGGACCCTGGTTTCAGTCAGTGCCAGCCAGCAGTATCACTTGACAGCTGAGTACTTTTTAGTGAAGGCGAAAACAAATGGCTCCCAGGAAATTTAATCTGACCAGCCGTTCTCTCAGAGTTACAGACTGGTGGGGTTTGTGTAGGGGTGCAACTAACGATTATTTTTACTATGTTCTAATTATTTTCTTCAATTAATTGTTTAGTCTATTAATTGTCAAAACAGTGAAAAATGTCCATCTTAAGTTATAAGAACTGAGGGTGATATCTTGTTTTGTCTGACCAGCAGCCAGAAACCCCAAAGTATTTATTTATCATAGTGGACCAAGAAAACCATCAAATATTTACATTTATGAAGCTGAAACCAGCTGATTTTGGACATTTTTGTTTAAGAAATGACAACAAATTACATGAAATTGGCAGAAATTGAATATACGTATACGTATACGTATATAGGAGTTGTGTTTTCCTTACCTTAGAATGAGCCCATTATATCTTCATAGGAAGCATGTCCTTGTCCACGGAGTCTGCCATGTGGCACCGTCATGTTTCTACAGTAGCCCAGATGGACAAAGCAAACACTGGCTATAGATAGGGCCATTTGTATTTTGGCATTTTTGTGTCAGCCGCTGTAGTTAGAAGCGCTGCTGCCACAAGCAGCGTTGTAAAAACACTGATTTGTAACGTTAAACTGCTTTATTCTCATTCGTCTCATTTATAAAACAATGCATAGGATTCGTTATAAGATGTACATACAGACAAAAGCCGAAAAAAAAGACCCCTGGCCCGTTTGTTTTGGAGAGGAGTCGACCTCTGCTGATACTTTAGCTCCCGATTAAACCACCTGAGCAACGATCACTGAAGGAATTCTTACCGGGGGAAGTTTCAGCTGGTTGCAATCTGCAATCCTTACTGCTATATTTCACAAAATCTCCCTATATCGTACATGCTGAACCTTAAAACAGCTAATAAATTGTTGCAGATTTGTGTTCTGTCAAGTGATTAATCAGTTAATCAGCTAATTATTTCTAGGGCTGCAGCTAAAAATGATTTAGAATAGCTATTAATCTGTGGCTGATCATTTTGTCTGTCTTGTGAGTCTTTTAAATTTTAGAAAAGAGTTTAAAATATGGCGATCCCAGTGTCCTGAAGCCCAAGGTGAAGTAATTAAATTGCCTGTTTTCCCTAGCAGCAGCCCAAAGTCTGAAAGTATGGCGTTTCTTATCGAATAAGACATAGAAAAACAGGAAATTCCCCAAATTGAGAAGCTGAAACTTGGAAATTCTTTGTCTTGAAAAATGACTTGAAATAGTTTGATCATTTTTCTGAGGTGAACAATAAGTTTAAGCTCACATGCGTGCTTAATTGTGGAGTTCTAATTACACTTGGTAATTATTCAGTGTGTCCTGCTCTCAGTGACAAGTCAATATAGATAAAAGTGAGTTTGTGTGCGTTTGGCGGTAGGAACTATAGATCGTTTGTTGTGTTATTTGCAGGATTTAGGTGTCCTTTTGTTCCTGCTCTTTGCTCCTTAATGGAGTTAAAGATTAACTATAAGTCGCACAACATATTAACACCCTCCGTTATCTCTCTTTCTTTGTGCCTTTCCTACTCTGATCATGTGATCCATCAGAACCCTCCTGACCTTGACACGTTTGTTATTGATCATGTCATTTCCACATGATTTGTAAAGCTAAATATTGTATCAGTCCAAATTATCATATTTTATGTGTGCAGCATGCCCAGTAATTTAAATGTTATCAAGACTGCTTGATTTAAAGAGGCCGAGGAAATGCTGATAATAACATGGGGAAAGTAAGTGATGATAATTGTATTTTTAAGTACAGTTTTGCAGCTTACGCTTTGCATGTTACTTTGCCTGAAAGCCTCATCTCACAGAATAAGTGGTCACACAGTCAGCAGTGCAATCAGCATATTGCTATTTAAAATAAGCCATGCTGGGAGCAGCCCTAACACAGGGATAGATGATAATCTCCTGGCTGGCAAGAGAGTGACAGCTAAAGGCTTAACACTCATTGATTAGGCTGTGTGACATGTGACGTGGCAGTGGGTCTCTTGGCTGCCCCAGCAGGACAGTAGACTCTTGGTCTAATTGGAGCTTGTGTTCTCTGGTTGAGGCTGATGGCGTCAGGGGAGGGTTGTAGAGGTGTAGTAGGGGAGAATAAGCAGGTCTCGCTGTTTAAGAATCATGGGTAAATGAAAGGGGACATACTGATGGCGGATTGGACGTCTCCTCACCAGATGGTTGAGGCCTAGGAGGCCATCTGCTGCCATGCTGCGCTTCTGTGGAGACTTCCTCACTTCCTTTTTCCCCAGCTCTCAGATTAAGTTGGGCTCTGCTTCCTAGAGCAGAGTGGTGGAGGGGGACCTGCTGTTGTTGCTGGTTTGAATCTGGCCTGCTGCCTTTGTTGCGTGGGGTTCTGTCTCTTAGCTCAGTGGACTATATGATGCCAAAACATTGGTAGTTATAATGAAGGTCACCTTTAATAGTCAAAAACAATGAGAAAATGATATAATTTGAAAACAACAGTAAGATTAAAAGAGTATTCAGTATAATACCAATATGGTAAAAATGTAGGATAACAGCTAGGTTGAAGCTAATAATTAGATTAATTGTTGATTAATCTAGCAATTACTTTTTTGTTCATCCATTTCATCCTGTGGTTTTTAACCTGGAGGTTAGATACAGTTTGGTAAATTTGGTGACGTATGATAGAGGTAAAAAGTTAACTATCTTATCTCAAAACATGTTAATCTCTTGACCCTTTCTTGTAAAATGCTGCATGTTCTCTACTTCTTCAGGGCTCTGAAAATCCCTCAAAAAACAATCCGAGAAGAAAAACAAAACACTTTGCTGTTGAACTATTCACACCTCTCAACATACTAAGGGCCCACAAGCTAAAAGCACTGGTTTACACTGTGAAAGATCCCTTTCATAACCTCTGTTAGCCCAAAGTGACGCCTTTAAAATTTTCTGTTTGGTCAGACTAAAAACTCAAAACCCAAAGGTATTAGATTAAAAGTGTAGAATGGAGTAACGCAGCAAATCCTTGACATTTTTGCTTGATCATTTTTTGCAGTGACTAATCTGATATCAAAATTGTTGTTGATTTATTTTTTGCTAAACAACTAATTGATTCAAGGATTAATCCTTTAAGCACTAAATTAAATTCAATAACTTGCAGCAAATAGTCAAAGTGATGTATTCTACTACCAAATAATGCTGAACAAAACAAGAAAATGTAGTTGCTGTAGATCACTTTATTAGCAATGTTTCAGTCCTCGTACATTAATGAATTTTACCTGTTGACGCTCTGAGGATTGGAGCAAGTGTTGATAAACTACAAGGAATCGATATCAAGTGTGAGTGTGCAGTAGGGCTGCACGACATGAGGAGATTATATGATATGCTGTAACACTGTTGAGTATTGTGATAACGATATTACTTTGATAAAAAGATACTAAAAGATACTAAAGTGTAGTTTTGCATTCCTGCTGCTTTCAGTATGCTGCTTAAAATCTAACAAATAATAAAGATAAAAGGAAATTATTTCCGTTGAACATTGAATTGAACACAGAAAGCACTATTTCAGAAAGAATGATAGTTACATCTAAAGTTCAGTTTTCAGCTGATGCTCTTTTTCAACTAACTCAAAAAATCCCTGAGTGCAATGACACAGTCTTTCTCAATCTGTTTATCCCGCAAGTTGACATCAGGTGGCAATTAAAAATGATATATTGTGCAACTGTAGCGTGCAGGATTTTTGTTTTTGAGTTATTGATCCGACACATCTGGCAGTAAGACTTTATGTTCTATAAGGACGTC